AGAGAGAGAGAGAGAGAGAGAGAGAGAGAGAGAGATTGATATCATATTAGATTTGAAGAATGGTCATGTTGTCATGGGAAAAACCCCCCATTAATTCACGGGAAATAACTGGTGAATCGATATATACCTTTCAAATTTGATAGGATTATGTACCTGGTATTCCCACCTCCCCTCTCGTCCCTCCAACTGAGGGCGACGCTGCGGCTGAGGGTGGGTGGGATGTTGACAGGTGCTCTGGCGTGGTTTGCTTCTTCTTTCCTATCAAACATCAATCATCCTTATCTTTCCTCCTCTTTCATATTTCTTCCTTTTTATTTCTTTATTTCTTTTCTTTTTTGGTATATATTGCTCTCTTAGTAACATCTCTATTCTTCGGCACGTATATGACCTCTGTGTGTTGCAGGTGCCGTGAAACTCTTACTGAAACTTTAAAAGCTCAAGGAATGGAATGAATTCATTTGAGGTGTAAAATAATTACAGTCAGTAATATATTTACTATCGTTCTTTGTGCCACAGTTGCTAGGGATTGACCAGATAATAGTAAACTTACGCAAAACATGCTTTAATTTATTGGAAAAGATATTGGAAAAGTTGCAACAATTATCTTACTTGTCGCATGTTTGTAAGGTTTTGTGATTGAACCAGTATAATACATGTATCTATGTTATTGCATGTTGATGTTTACATGTTTGTCTATCAGTTTGACTTTGTTTGTTCTTAAGTTTGTGTCAATGTGTGTATACCAAGTACTTGTTGAAGTTCATGTTGCGCGCGTGTGTGTGTGTGTGTGTGTGTGTGTGTGTGTGTGTGTGGCGCGCGTGTGTGTGTGTGAGTGTGTGGTGTGGCCCGCGCGCGTGTGTGTGTGTGTGTGTGTGTGTGTGTGTGTGTGTGTGTGTGTGTGAGTTTGTCTGGGTTTTTTTTTAGAGGAGGGCGAGGGGGAGAACAGGTGTTTTATAAATTTTCGTGGAAAATATTGACAAATGCAAAAAGAAAGCTCCCATGGCCTATACTTTAATGCGGTACACTTACTCAGCTGGAATATGTATAATTCTAGCTCTGTCCTGGTTGCAGGCTAGCATAAAAAACAGGATACGATTTTGCAACAACTCCTGCCAGATCCTACATTACGTAAACGAACATGTCATGTAGCTGAAAGTAAATTGTTGTCCTGAACATTCTACGATCCCAGTTTCACATATCCACTACTAATTTCTTACCAGCCCAATGTTCATAATCTAGATCTGAATATAGTTGTTTTTTTTACGTCTCCATCGAGACAATTTTAGATCTTATCTGAAGCAGGCTCCTACCCTGCCTGTCAGGGCCAATCTGGGCTGAGAGGGAGGCAATATCTCAGCAGAAAGACGGAGATAGTTAATAAAAATTCTCCCCCACACAGGAATCGAACTTTTGTGTCAGACGCCGGTCTGCTGTTTCTCTCTGTCGTCTTGCTGCAACTCCTGTTTGCATAGTCGTGATTCGTCTGTTGAAATTCGGCTCTTAAACCCCCCCCCCCCCCCAAAGCCCACCAAAGCTCACCTGACGTTATATAAAGTCCTGATGAAACATCTTAAAAAAGATCTGAGCAAATAAATAAAAAGAGTTCTATTAAGTAAAATGATACTCTCAAAATCTGTAACAAAGATCATATAAACACGTACACTGTATTACACGACAGAACGTGTATTGGTATGCATGTCAAATGCGTCATTAGCTAACAGTTGACAAAGATTTAAATATATCAACATAACGCGTTAATTAAGCAAGTTATTCTCAGAACGGGGATGAACAGACTGCAGGAGAGCTAAACTAATAAAAGTGAATTTTCTTTTACGGAAATGTTTGTTCCGTAAAACACCCAAAAACAATTTAAAAAAAAAATACCGGCACGACAAAAAAAAATTGCAGGGAAAAATATGTAGTGCCGATATCTCAGACGTTTTGCCTTAGCTCTGTGAGTCATACACTCACTGCGGAGAATGTATTTTGATACCGGTACCCAAAAACAGGCACAGTCTCGTGTTGTATCGCATTTTGAATCAGCCGAGTAATAGACGTCTATCCCGGATATGGCTTTGGGTGTTTTCTTTTTTTAGGGAGGGAAGGCAGGGCAATGGTGCAGGGGTAATGGGGAGAGGGGGTTGAGAGAATGCCCCCCATGGATTTAGCTGAGCACAATAGGGGAAATCGCTCTCAGGATGAGTCAACCGCCCCGTAACGACCATGTGTGGTTCCGCTTTGCCAGGGAGATAAGAATCTACCAGTAGCAGAGTATTATATCATCCTTTGAACCATTGTCTCCACAGGTTTTCTTCTAAAAAGATTAGTAGTGCAGATTGTAGACAGCCATCTATGCCTTCTAAGCCGGTAAACACCACGTCAGTAAGGAATGGAAGAAGTTGGGGCATTGTAAAATGCCCGTTTTTTTAGGGTGAGGGGGTAGTATAAAGGGGAAAATCGGGGGGAGGGGGGGGAGGGGTAAAATAGTGAGGTGTAAAAGGCCATTGTGATACCTACGTTATTTTATCATAATGTTACAGTATTATTCTTTTTTATCTGTTCTCAAACAAAGAACTGTGGAATTTGCCTACCATAGAAAACTGCATCTCCCCTCGACACTTAACGGCAACAGAAGATAAAAAAGTAAAAGTAAAAGTAAAGAAACAAAAAAGCTTGTTTCATTTGACAGGCCACACAAAGATAAGTCACAATTCCAGAGTACAGCAATTTGTTATGTTAACCCGTGAGTTCTGTTTTGAGTATAGAGGACATATCATAATAAAACGTTCGGTATTTTTGTATGGGACAACAACACTTAAAACACAAAGTTGCAAAACTAGAGTGCCATAGTCCGACAAACACAATGCACGGATCAGTTCTTTCTGTTTATGGGTGTAATCCACCTAAATCGTTCCCCAAACCTACTACCCACCACCTTTGGGACATAAAAAAACAAGCAAAACAAAACCAAATAGTGCAGCTAGAATAGAAACCCCACAAACTTACTTGAAGACAGGTAAAATGTTCTTTGCAGAAATTGCGGCAAAAGAGCTCTCTAAACGGTATCATGTTCTGCAAATATCACCCACGGAACACAAAAGTGTTTTGTTTTCCAGTTCTCAGTTGAAAAAAACCCAACAACAAATAAATGAAAACAAAATTAATCAAACTACATTGTAAGACGGTTTACCTTCAGAGGATGTACGTCAAAGAATGTAGGTTGTCTTACACCACAAAAATCCTAAAATAACAAAATAAAAAGAAAGAAAATCTTCAAATTCTGTAACTCACATGGAGTAAGCTGTTATGCTTTATAAGAGTAGAAAAACAACAAACTTCTACAACAAAGCAGAACAAAACAACTTATTTCGTACACGATCAAAACAAAATGCAAGGCAAACATTTCTTACCCGCTGCCCATGTAACAGAAGGAGCCCACAGCAAGACATACAATACCACAGCTTGCCATTGCAATTTTAATCGATGTTTCATGTTTCTTTAGCTTTACGATCTTCAAGTTCTTGGTTGGAAAGTATCTTTCAATATGTTGGCCCCCACTAGCAAAGTTACAAATTTATAGCAAATCCGGACAGTGAAGGCTGGCTGTTCGATAATACCCGATTGGTCCTTTCAGAAACAATAGACTTTCCCGCTCATTCGCCACTTGTGGGTCACGTGATTATTCTTGCTTGCATAAAGAATGACGGTATCCACCGACTTCCCGACAACTGTGTAGAGCCAGTCGCCACTGCTACGGTGCGGTCGCACTTGACGCGTCATCGGACCAGAGCGGAGCGAGAACGCCGCCGGCGGTACCTTCTCCACATGACTCCAGTGACGTCAGGGGACATAACTTCGCACTCGCTCTGTCGAACACGATCGGAAAAAATCGAAGTTGATTGGGATCGATAGATTGGCGGCGCCATGCCCGTGTGCCACGATACAGACCGCTGGTCAATCGAGAGATCTTGGCAAAAGGGGAAAACGCGTCTGTCCGATCAGGGCTTGGGTTTCCTGTGTCCACTTTTGAAAATAATAGGGAGTAATCAGATTAATGGGTTTTTCGCGCGTCATACTGGGACGCTGGGATTACAGAGTCACCCAGAGACACAACAATGAGGCTACTGGTTCTCTAGTTTAAGATAACGATCCAACAGCGTTAGGCCATGGCAAACTCTTAACTTATACTCGATAAAATCTTCGTGAGTAAAATTATGACAAAGGGGTCGCAAACCTTTCTTTTGTGACGTGCTCCACCCAGTCTGCTCGGTCAGGGCATATATGTTGACGCCATTGGGCCACGGATTTTCCGTTAAATCCTATAGTCGCAACAATACTCTGGAGATTATCTGCAACGCATTAACTTTGCAATGTTATTATCAAACAGCTTGCTCAAGTTCGAAAGCTAAACGTTCAAAGGTCATTTCCAGTTGATTTAGAGTTCGCCTCTTCCCCTCCGTGCGTCGCGCTTACAAAGTATTACCGTTTAAGAGTGACATATATGCATGGCTGCGCTATATTATCTTTCGTGTATAAGTTAAATTTCCGGCTTGAATTTCGTTAAAAGTCACTTTCCTGGCATATTTTTCCTTATGGTGTGCGCACATTCGAACCCCCCCCCCCTTCCCCCGGGAAAAACCGCCCAACAAAACGACCCAAAAAAATCAAAACTAAAACAAAAACAAAAACAAAAAATAAACTCCTAAAAATAAAACAAAACAAATTAAAAAACCAAAACAACAACAACAACAACAACAATAACTACAACAACAACAGCAGCAACAAAAGCTAAAGAATTTGGCCGCGAAAAAAATTAGGTGACTTCTTTCAGTTGAATTTGTGCAAAGCAATACATCAATGACCCTCAGTTATACTTTAGGCTATTTTATAACCTCAAGGTACATAAATGTCACATCATGTGTACGAGTCCATGGCCATTATGGAAGTACACAACACATTTCTGTCAGATACAAATTGGAGGGTGCTACCTGTTAAAAGAAACTGAGTGACATTTAAAAAAAAGTTGCACGCAATCTTGACTTCAGATGGTTAGTACCACAGATTACTTACATAAAAAGAATTACAAAACTCTAACCTCTTTTGCGTACGAATTTCGAAAACAAAGAAAGAAAAGCCATTGTTTAGTCCTATCAAACAAGGGCATTGTTTTCAGATAGGGTACCATAAGTGGTGCCGCCACTGGGCCACCTATTATTCGATTAAAAATCAGTTTCACATTCTATTAAACAGTTACATCTTTGATCGACTAGCTCCCCATTTACTGAGGTACAGGAGCATGACAGCAGCGATAATTTTAGTGAAACATTAAACTAGGACATGCCAAGCCAAGCGACAGGCTGTGCTACAACGGACTGTTTTTTTTTCTAAACAAAGATATTTAACTTATACTTATTATGTCTTTCTTAAGAAGTTGTGAGAGATCTAAACCTGTTCGAGCTTATTTATGGCTATGAAAGCACACTTTAAAGTTCAATCCTTTGTCTGGGTAAAATATCCAAAATCATAATGATATAAGAGTAAAAATGTAATCAAAAGATAACCTTTAGAAAAACTTTTGCAGTTTATTGAAAGACCAACACTGGTAAATTATAATAAAGCTTATTGAACTTTGCACAAAAATACCAGAACCGACCGGGACCTCTACGGTGTGTTGGACTTATTAATTAGGGTATGTTCTCTCCCCACCTAGATGGAAATTTGTAAATTTAATGTGCTAAAACTGCGTTAAGCGGGTGTTTCTAAGACCCAGTGAATCTCGGTAATACTAAGAGTACTTCATGTGGTTGCCTGTGCGGTACGGAATGATGATTTTACTTTCTGCATAGATAAAAGACCATGTACATAAAAATCAACTGCGCTGTGAGATGAAGATCTTACAGTCATTTATTCTGAACTCTAGCATAGCAGTGGTACGAGAAGAAAAGAAGAAGACATCTTTTCAAAAGATAACTCTAAACTTAATAGAGATGTCTAAAAAAGGACACATTTATAGAGTAAGAACTTGTTCAACTTCAGAACAATTCTAATGAAATTTCGAACAAATAAAATTCAACCAGGTGTACGTCACATTTGCCAATATTAGAAATAACCACAACGTAAATGTAAAAAAAATTCAGTCAAATTTTTTTGAAAAAAATTGAGTGAAAAGCCAAACTGTTCAACTTCTTATAAATCAATAATATTGTTTTATTTCAAATAGTCACTGTCGGTGAAATAAAGAACAAATTCATTTATGATTGGTATTACCAAATAAACTTATATAAGGTGGTTGCTATTTAAATTGTATACTGCTTCGACGATCGTTATTGTTTTCAGTACTATCATTATCATTATGTTATGACGTAATGATTGTTACTACTAATATCATCGTGATACCATATTGTCATTATCATTATTACTATTCTTATTTCTATCAATATTATATCATCATCGTCATCGCAATTATTATTTTTATTATCATTATATGTATTTTTATTATCATTATTGTTATCATTATTGTTGTTGTTATTATTATTATTATTATTATTATTATTATTATTATTATTATTATTACTATTATTATTATTATTATTATTATTATTTTTATCATCATCATTGTTATCATTATTATTATTATTATTATTATTATTGTTATTATTATTATTATTATTATTATTATTATTATTATTATTATTATTATTATTATTACAACTACCATAACAATAAGTGGGATTACTCTTGGTCTTATTATGATATGATTATGATTATGATTATTTTTGTTATATTATTATTATTATTATTATTATTATTATTGATGTTATTATTATCATCATTATTATTATTATTATTATTATTATTGTTGTTGTTATTAGTATAATAATTGTCATTTTTATTACTATTGTTATTATTATTTTTTTTTAATTAAAAAAATTATTATTATTATTTTATTTGTTATGATGATGATTATTATCAATAATATAGGGCCCTATTATTATCATTATTATTATTATCATTATTATTATTATTATTATTATTATTATTATTATTATTATTATTATTATTGTTACTATTACTGGTATTATTATTATTATTATTATTATTATTATTATTATTATTATTATTATTATTATTGTTGTTGTTGTTATTATTATAATTATATTATAATTATTATTGCGACCGAACAAAAATAAATCCCCACCGCTTTTTGCGATAGGGCTATTCGGCTTTCTTAAGAGTAGGCCTAACATTCTGGTGATATAATTGGCTGCCCCTGATAAAACTAAGGAAATTGATCTTGAGAAATCCGGTTGTTCTGTTCTGAATAAGCATAAATTCTGAATTCTGACAAATTTGGCTAGAATGGCAATGGGCATTGTGCAGATTTGGCGAAACAGGAAGATGCTCAATTAGCGTATCTCTGTTAACTGCACTACGATTCAATAACAGCTGACATCAATCACCGACAAATTGTGCGTCAAGATCAGGTTCTCAGATTTCACGCCCTTCTTGAGAAACAAACAGCACTTTTCAAATTAAGAGAAGTCTCAGTTTTCCACAGTTGCCTCATCCTGGTGCATGATGCACACGTCTTTGATTTTTCGTAGTGAGGTTCGGTTTTCAGGACAGACAGAAGTAATTCGATACAATTCTACAAGGAGTTGTCTACTATTAATGTTTCAAACATGTTTTGTCAAATTTAGTTGAATTATTCTGGCGCCAAGCCCTGCTGTTGTTTTATGTTTTTGAATAATCTAGTACAACTGTCGAACGATAAATGGGGCAAATTTAAGTACACGGAGGGCGATTTTACAAGTTTAAGTACACCGGTACCTTGAACGACGTATAATTTCTGCGCTCCAATGCGTTTTTTTTGTTTCAAAAAGAATGATTACAACCAGCATAATTCACCCCCTTGTGTCACCACTCCTAAATCAGAGACTGTGACTGTGCCAGTACTCTTTCAGGAATAATATAGGTCAAAGCAGTGTCTCCTTTTCATTTTTCCCTGTCTGTCTGTCTGTCTGTCTGTCTGTCTGTCTGTCTGTCTGTCTGTCTGTCTGTCTGTCTGTCTGTCTGTCTGTCTGTCTGTCTGTCTGTCTGTCTGTCTGTCTGTCTGTCTGTCTGACTGTCTGTCTGTCTGTCTATCTGTCTGTCTGTCTGTCAGTCTGTCTGTCTGTCTGTCCACTATCTTTTTTCCCCTTATTCTTTTTCTCATCATCATCATCATCATCATCATCATCATCATCATCATCATCATCATCATCATCATCATCATCATCATCATCATCTCTCACCCCCCCCCCCCCTCTCTCTCTCTCTCTCTCTCTCTCTCTCTCTCTCTCTCTCTCTCTCTCTCTCTCAACGCTTCCCTCTGTACCTACTTCTCAGTGTTCCTTTACCTCTTTAACATCTATTTCCTTTAACCAACAGCCCATGGACTGTTCTACTGCTGACTATGTGTCTCCTTGGACTGGCAGCTTAATTGTTCAAGGGACCATGTTTGGAATATCATTGTATGTTCATACGCTTTTCCCATTGGTACGCTACAGATCA